ACATAAGCCTCTCTCAGAGACCACGAAGCACTATCCTGAGTCACGTGCATCCATCGACTTCAGCATTCTTGCACAGGTCCATAATTACTCCTTACTAATCACTCCATAATTATATCGATATAGTGGGGATCGTCCTACACTACGATGGCCAGTACAAAGCTGCCACTCAAGAACTTTTCTTTCCCATCGGTTGTTGGTTCTCCTTTATGACATTGCCACTTCAGCTTACTGAGACTCTGAGTTGTGTCGGCAACCATGTCTTCATTGCCAACTTACAGCGAAACACTAAGCATGAAGTGCTCCACAGCTCGCAGAGCTGTACATATGACGTACATATGAGACACACACTTATGTAACCATCCAAAGGCGAAGCGTGTCCTCAACTATTCCAAAAATGTTCCGGACGTCAGTCTGAGCCAGATTAAAATGACTCTTGAAGAGCTTAAAAATGACAAAGCACCAGGAGAGGACAGAATTACAGCCGAGCTTCTGAAAGCGAGTGCAGACCTGGTACTTGTGGTCCTTCAGAAGCTCTTTAATTCCATCCTCCAGGATGGTACTACTGCAGAGGTGTGGAGTATAAGTGCGGTGGTGTTCTTCAAGAAAGGTCTCTTGAAGGACTATAGCCCGATATCCATACTGAGTCGTCTATGTTCTGTTTTCGAGAGTCAACTTGAGTTATCAAACAAGCCGGATTCCGAAAAGGCTTCAGTACCATGGCGGTATCAGGAAGCTGAAAGTCGCTCAGCGTGTGACATACTAAATTACAGTATAATGAATTAATACCTGCCCGGGGCGGAACACGGAAACATAAATCCGACCCACTGCAAGATAGTTTATTACTCGCGCAAACTTTGCACCTGTCAGTATATTTATTAAATTTTAATGCGATTATATTATATAATATATTATATTCGTATTACGTTTATTATTCAAACACTATTTTTGTTGTAAAATAAAGAATATATAAATTGATTATAATAAGTATATTGCGTTTTCTTCGAAGGGCCTACACATACCCACCCTGGAGAGGGCTAGGGCGAACTCACATCTACTAAAACCCCCATGATTCCCACCGCACGACCACCTGCCTGTCGTCAACCCTCCTTGAGAATAAACACCCAAATCTAGAACAATTATTGTATGTATGTGGGTCACACACGACCCCCGAAGCCAATAGCATACCAATGGCACCATCAAATCATCATAATATGGGCTATTAATTGTGTAAAGAACTTTTTATAGTCGCTATTCTAGAATTTTAGAATTAAATAAATAATAACGAAGGCCCTAATGTAAACAACTCGAAAAACTTTACTCGAATAGCTGGCAGTGAGCTGAGACTCGAGGGCCTTGATTGACTTTGCCGCCAACTGTTAAAAAATATCCGGAAAGATAAGACGGATGAAGACAATGTGCCCTCCGTAAATTTTTCTTAAAAGCCCGATTTTCGAATTGTAACTAGTATATGTTCTTAAATATTCAGCAACCTGAATAGACACCTAGTCATAAATTTCTTCGCTACAGAATTTATATATCAAATTATAACGCCACATCTAAATATCTCCTATTTCAATTAAATGCATGAAACTACATGAGATAACAAGACGTCGTTGACGTCATATTTCATCAATGTCGCTATATAAGTAGTAAATTTAATTTAACTTTACAATACGGGAACTTGACGCCGAATAAGCCCCATGGAGCGAAAAGCGTGCGAAAGATAGGCAATTTAGATTCCTCTATCCACCTGTATTTTTTACGATGTCTTCGTAGACCTACCTACCTAGACGTAACCTGTGTATCTAGCTAGAAGTGCTGATAAATAGATGATTTGTGAATTTAAGTAAGGTATATTTTACCTTTGATGTATTGTTAGGTTCATTTGATGTTTGATAATTTTATTTAGCACAATTGAAAATTAGAATATGGATTAGCAGCGACCCGCCCGGGCTTCGCTCGGGTTCAATGTAATACTATACATATAAACCTTCCTCTTGAATCACTCTATCTAGAAAAAAAAAACTCATCAAGATCCGTTGCGTAGTTTGAAGATCTAAGCATACGGGACGATTTTGTTTTATACTATGTAGTGTATATAAGTGTTGAAAAGTTTAGGGCGTGTTCAAATGTAAAAGCCTTCCAGAAGATTATTTGGAGTAGATTATTACAATTTTTGTATCATAGTTAATAAATAAAAAAATGTTGTCTCATTTTACTGCCGTGTTTACTGCTCAAGCAAATTCGCGCTTTATTATTACAATAATAATCCAACCCTTTATTGTTTAAGAATGGTTTAAAAGGTTGTTTAGACTATATTTCGAGCGGGATACATTAAAAGTAATGACTTATTCAACATCCTTATGCTTTAGCAATCATTTTGTAGATAACATAGTAGTCGTTACTTCTTGACAGACAAACATTCTTATTATTTTCGGAGTTTTATTTTAGCAGATTTTTACTATTTCACGGAGTAATAATATTGCATTCGTGGCAAGATAGAAACTAGCCTACATAACTCAATGATAACCTCATTTAAGACACTGTATTATGGATTCATTTTCCCGCCCAAAACCACTAATTAACGCTCAAGTAAGCGTAGTAATATGGTAAAAAAGAAAAAAAAAGAAGGGCTAGTTAAAAGCGATTCAATCTCTAAGATAAACTATAAAAAGTAGTTATTGTAGTGTAGCAGGCATCGCTACAGAAAAAAATAGTTTCGAAACATGTCTAATATCAGAGTTGGATTTATAATTTGTTACGTACCAAAAACATTTTAATTCCGTTTTGTGGTATTGTTATGACAATTTGTTGACACATAATTTTAGTTTCAAATTTTGTATCAGAAATTGTATGCTGTTACCATAATGCAAGCAACTGATATTTATCTAAAGGAAACACTGGTAGCTATACAAAACCATTTTAATCAATAATTCACACGATCAAAAATAAAATTACAATTAGCAATAATATAGACAAAACTTAAAATAGGTCAATACAATACTTACGTCACAACAACATTATGGATTCATTTTGGTACAAGTCTGTTATATATCCTCCATAATTATTACAAATCTAAAGAACATTTTGTTGCAGTTTGAATCCAAACTCACTTTTAGATATAAATTATCCATAATCATAAATTGCTCAACCCAAAGAATTTCTAATACAATAATCTTAGAAACACTCCGAATAAAGTATCAAAAGCTAAACCACAATAACAATCTTAAAAGTACTTAATATCAAATTAAACAAACTGTAAAAAAAAATTAAAAAGCGACTTACCTAAAGCAAGTAACTACTTACCATAAGCGGTGGTGATGTTAATCATATTAAAGCTAGACCAGTTAGTTATTCATTCTACAATAAATATTTACAAATTTCAATATGGAAAGACAAGTGACAAAAGAAAATTATTCAAAGAAATCTCAGGTACAAAAGAGACAATGACATAAAATTTATTTCATAGCTGGCGCAAAACATACAATATATGATGTAAAAACATTTATTTTTGTATTAATTTGAATATCTTCCTGATATAAAGTAATTTACTTCGAAGTCAATGGAATATTTCAAAGACATATTACTTGATTGACTATTCAAAAACTTTCATTTCATAAGCACATAACATATGAAAGTGTTTTTGATAGTCAATATAAAAAAATATATGAGAAAGAAATTGTTAGTTGCATCATGAATATTTTTATAGACTATTGAAATAGATTAAATCAGTCTGTTCTTTGTCTTATATTTTAATCAGTTGTTAAGACAAGTTAATTTTAATAAATATGCAGATTCGATTCCATATAATTTAGCCAAGAAAACAATTGAAGTCAGATTAGGCTCATGGATATTTAGCAAACAATATCTCAATAGTTGAACATTTTTAGACATAAAAATGTGAACTATCAATTCTTAACTTTTACGCCTTTTAATATCACACAGTCGGCGTATTTAAATGCATAATAGTCAATGTTTTATTATTAAATTAAATTTAAATTTATTTAGAAAATAATGGCTATTAGAGGTATATTATTTGTTCTATGTTTATTAATAATTTTTACGCTTTGTTAAAAAAAAAACAAAAATGTATACACATTATTAAAAGTTGTTAACATTTTTACAAATTTGCCAAAAACATGTTTGGAAACTTTAACATGTAGACATGCATTTGTAAGCAAATGAAAAAGAGAAACACAAGATGGTGCAGTCTTATTATATTTAGGTACTTAATAAATGCTATATTAATTTAGATACAGTTATAAGTTAGATTCTATCATATATTAATTTAATTCTTTTAATTAGTAAAAATATTATTGTTCATAGTGATTTTAGACATCAATATTTCATGGGAATTGAATTTAATTCATCCTATAGTCTATGGTTAATAAATGATGTTAGTTGTTAGGTAATTTCCATAACTGTTTTGCGTCCACAAAATATGTTGTTTATACAACAATAGAAAAAAATGGTATAACAAAGAAATAGCATTCTTCCAGAACGAAGTTTGTTTCGTAATGAAACAGTTGGATATCAATGAACACAATATTTGCAATAGGTATCGGCGTCATACCAGATGAGTTTCGTTTCGTTTAGTTTGTCTAGAAGTTGTTCCAATATTGTCCCGCTTCATGTCCTAATATTGTCCCGATTATGTTCCAATATTGTCGCGCTTCATGTTCCAATACTGTCGCGCGTCATGTTCCAATACTGTCGCGCTTTATGTTCCAAAATTGTCTCGCTTTATATTCCTATATCGTTCCGCTTCATGTTCCTATATATTTCCATTTCATGTTCCTATTTTGTTCCGCTTCATGTTCCTATATTGTACTGTTTCATGTTCCTATATTGTTCCGCTTCATGTTCCTATTTTGTTCCGCTTCATGTTCCTATATTGTACTGTTCCATGTTCCTATTTTGTTCCGCTTCATGGTTCCTAACATGTTCCGCTTCATGTTCCTAACTTGTTTCGACGGTGGGCCGCTGCGGCGCGGGCGTCAGTGCCGCCTGACCGGGAGGGCGCCCGGCCTGGAGTAGGGGTGCGCCTGCACCCTCTCGCGCGCCCTCACCGCTTTGTAACCGACTGACCTTTGAGTGTCACCCGCTTTCGAGCGTTGCGCTTCTGTTAGTTTGTTAGTAGCGGGACGCGCACATGTAATAGACGTGTTAGTCATTAGAACACATAAGGGAATTACGGCTTTGATACTGAACAACTCCCCAAACCCTCCCATGATACACATATGATACATTTTCGAAATTAACTTGGATGATATTAGGAATGTCTTGTTCATTCATTTATTACACTTGTAATAAAGACAGACAAACAAGCAATGACATCACGACACAAAGAATTAGTACGGATAGTTTTGTTACAAATAAACTGATTCTCTACTTTAATGACTATAAAGTTATTACTTTAACTGTATTCAGTTGTCCGTAATATAATTTTGTAGAAATTTTTCTAGTTGTAAAGTATGAACAATATGTTATTGTTATCAAATATATCTTATAATTATATACGTTTAAAATGACAGTCTAAATAACTATAGTTGATTCTTGATTATTTCTAATGGAAAAATAAATTTTCAGTGGTCAATAATAATAAATTGAAGTACAGTTTCCATTTGAAGAGGTCCCTAATTCCGAAACCTATATGATCTTTTGTGCTTACCGCTGCCTATAAGATGCGAGCAATGCCAGAGCGATTACGAAGGCGATTGATCCGTTAGCTAGCTGATAAGGCCCTAAATCACAAACTACCTAATACACAGTGCATAACATACCTTGCACATTCCTCTGGAGGGGGGTTCCGTCTCTGGCCAGGCTGGAACCGAAGCCCGGATGTGGGCGCACGCCCGCTCCGACTGCAGGAGGCGCTCGCCGTAAAGGAAGCGCTTTTCCCACCACCGGCTTAACGATTTTGGCCGCTGTTTCAATACAAATAAGAAGTCTATTAGCATAATCAGTGGGTTAAAAACTTAGAATGAGAACAAATACCTTACCTTTGTCATTAAAAGTTAGTGTCCTGTGTATAGTGTTGGTCCTATCCACCAGCCCTCTCTTGACTGGCAGGTTGACGTCCGTCTTCAACGTTTCAGTCTTGATTGGCAGCTGTTTCTTCAGTATCTCCATTTTGCCCGTCAGGACGAAGGTCGAATTTAGATCGTTCGGGTCGATCGCTGGCGCAACCGGCAGATTCTCCACATTAAGCGCGGCGTCGTACTCCCTCTTGATTTTCTTCGCCGAGTTGAGGTTCCTTGTGGTGTCCAGCATTTCTAACGAATCGTTGATGATTATCGTTTCGTTGCACGGCAGTTTGATCGGTGTGCCTTTGCGTTTCTTGGCTGAGTTCAACGAGGGGTCACGGTTCTCGAGATCGGTGAGTTCGTCACTGTCGGTAGCTAAGTCAACGGTCACGTTAGGGTCACGTCTGTGACTGTAGTCTAGGGTGGCGGTTGGCTTATCCAGGTCCAGTGTTGACACGAACTTAAAGTGAGCGTCACCTTCTAAGCCTCTATCGGACCAAGTTATGCTCTTGGCAGACTTCGCTTTTCTCATGATCTCCAAATATTCCGTTGTCAGCGCCGGCGGTGCCTTATCGTAGCCCTTCAGGATCAGGTACAGCTTTTTAAGCATGCTCGGCATGTCGCTCATGTACTCAGTGAAGGCGTTTATTTCCTCGTTCTCAATGTACAGCAACTTGTGCCTTAGATTGTCCCTAGCACTGATCAGCCGCAATTCGCTTTGCATCTGCACCTTTTCAACGAAATCCAAGAGCTCTGGGCACTCTGAAAGTGCCTGGTTGAACAGGATCTGCATTTTCTTCCGGCTCTCATCCCATTTCGTCCAAGCGACCTTCACATTGGCGTCCAAGTGAACAGATTGCTTTTCATAGTTCTCCGCCGCCCTCTCTTGTCGGGGGATATCTTCTGTACACATCTGGAAAGATATTACAATATAAAAAACATAAAATAATAATTGTCCACAAGTTGCAATAAAGTTAAAACTAAATGTGCTATGTGATATTTTGAGGTAGATTAGGGATAGTAGATATTCCATGTATATTGTATTTATTCTGTATGGAATGGACTAATTCTATTTTTTCTTTTTTTTTTTTTTTTTGCCGTTTTTTATAATTCAATTACAAACAGCACTGGTCATTGCACCGGTTTTTACGCATCTGAAAACTTGAACATAATTTTCTTTTATAGACAAATACATTTTTATAGATGTAAACAACTAGACACAAAAACAAATTCATTATGAAATATTTCAATATTACGGCACAAGAGCCGTTCTCGCAATGCACTGCGCCATCTGTTCGAATTTCTGGCCTTACCTGCTCCATCGCCTCCGATGAAGATCTGTGAGCCAGGTCTGCCACGTGGCTCAAGGCCCGAGTGCGAAGTCGATGACGTAACGCCAGCACCCTCTGCCTCGCCATCAGCGATAGCAGCTCGTTCTCCAGGGTCCCGTGGGTGGAGTCCGCTTCTGTTATGCGCCGCCGCCATTCCAGTTTCACTGAATAACATTACAAATAGGGATTATCCATTAATCATGTGAGGTTCACGGGGAGTTCAGTAAACATAACGAAATATCACAACAGGCAGGGCCGTATAGTGATATATCACGTGTTGTGTTGAATCGCCACTGCTTGGCAATGATTTCCCCACCCACAAATTTTGACAATTGTTCTATTCAAATACTTCTATTGTAGAAAAAAATTTGAAAATTCTTGCAGTAGCTATATTTGCTTCGACACGAGTCATGGGCTCAATTTGTATTTGGAACAAATATTTGCGTCACCTACTGGAGATTGTTCCGTAACTGAGTGTTTGTTCATGTGATATTTATGTGTAAATGTCCTTAAATGTCTTAAAAATCGTATTCAGAACCGTACCAAATTCAGGCTCCACTGATATGACAAGAAAAAGCTTAACTTTCCGAGCATTAACTCACCTTTCTCATTAGCGGCGTCCACCTCTCTAACTGTAGTCTTTAAAGTTGAAAGAGACAGTTTGGCTTCAAGCTCTTTGACCTTCTTCTTAAGTTCTTCGTTAATCTTTACATATTGGGAGAGCCTCATATCACCATCTACTATGTTCTTCTTTATGTGCAGCTGTATTTTATTTGCCCTTGCCGCATATTTCAGAGTGTTGTAAGTGTCCTCGTAACTCGCGTGGGATGGAGATATGTTGGCAATCATAACGGTCTTGCAGTTACCGCCGAGACTATCCTTTAATAGGCGAGTAAGTTTTGAATCTCTGCAAATTTTTAATGAAAATTACAAGTCAATTTAGTAGTTTTTAACATTAGCTCTATTGTAGAAAGTGGGGATAAAGTGGTGATGCAAAAAGAACAGAAAAGGCTTGAATTATAAAGGCTATTAAAATTAAAATCCTAGAAATCACGAGGGCCCAATTAATACTTCAAAGTATAGTTGAGCAAAAAAAAAAAAAATGTTAAAGAGAATTCAGTTACTTAGCACATGTTTTTTCTTACTTTGAGAGTCTTAGCATCTTAGCACAAAAAAGTCTGTTCTGCAGAGTGCTGATATGGAATAAATTGAATGGAAAAATTTAGGCACAAAAATTATTCCTTCACAAGTTTATTATAAAACATTTAATAAAATCAGTTACATTCATAGACAATGATGCTAAATAAGAATTTAAGAATTTATAAAATCAACCTTAAATATTACTAATGATTTCGCTAAATATGCTAATATTATTTTATTGTGTCTTGTTCATTAATTCCCTGGACACATTGAATCTAATGAAGGGAATGATAGATAGATCAGATACATAACATAATGAGTAAGGTAATTTTTTTGTTTTTGAAGAGTAATAGTGTTATACCTATATGGTATATAGCTGCTGCCATCTGCTAATTTATTGATGCAATTGCCAAGAGACAGTAAACTTTTGTTAATATTTGCTCCCTCTTTGAAACGGTCACCAATGCAACCAGTAGCGGAGGCCCGTTCACTTCCCGCTAAGTCTATCATAGATAATTTAACAATTCGCAATTGACTGCTGGTCTTGTATCTCATTTTCACATAAACCTGTAAACAATATTAGTATTTCAAGTACTGATGATGTGACTGTAATTTGTCCATGAAGTATTGAATATTTAATGTGAAGTTGTTATGAGTTAAAGGTCATTTCTAAAAGAATAGTAGATATTAATGGAGATAACATAATACTTCAGAGTTTATATATTTATTTATTAATCATTAACTGGTATTCAAATTGTTTAAGAAAAAAGTACCTGGAAAACAGCATGACTCCTAGAGCTTTCAGCATTGGCATCAGTGGGATGCTGAGTTCGATTCTTATTACCATTCTCTAGCATATTTAACAGTTCCCGTGCAGTCTTGATGTTGTTCAAAGTAAGACCAGCGACCATGACTCCATACTTCGAGTCTTCTCGCAGTTGAAGTGGTGTGTTGGAGGGTTTAAGCAAGTCATAAACATTTTCATTATATACCTAAAATATATAATCATATGTAACAAAATAAGAAACATAATAATGTATTGGTTGAATGTTGTAAGTGGACCTTACAGACAAATTCAAGTTATTGAATAAAATAATGATTATGAGACATCAAATATTCTATAGCACGCTAACGGTAGTAGGACAACCAGCAACGTCGCCTGTTACACGAATGGACAGGCTCATCCGGGTAAGTACCACAACCTCACAGAAGACCGACGTAGACCGGAAGTGTACTACTTTTGCGTTTCGTCTGGTGGCATGAGCCCAATTTTCAAAAGGTTGTCAATACATCTGGAACCCTCGGGTGTAGCAGATGTCCATGGACAGTGGTATTCACTTAACATAAGCTGAACCATCTGCTCGTTTGGCAACTATTCACATAAAAAAAAACAGGCAGGTGAAAAATATGGCACAGCCTTTTATGATCTATTTAAATGGAGATATAACTAATAAAATTTCTATGTTAGCTTATGGCAAATTAACACTTAAATAATAAGTAATTTGTTAAACTAATTTTAAGTGACTTAAAAGCAATTATTTATTTGCACATATTTTAAACAAAACCTTGACCAACCTCTTTAGATTGACTAAGAAACAACAAACAATAGCATATAGACGTTAAAAATTATAAATTAATTTGTATTAAGTCGAAGTAACATTTTGAATGAAGCAAAAAAAATTTTACTACCAGCCACGGATTATAAGAAATCTACAAAATACCTCCTCGCAACTCCTGCAACCACACCCACTGACTTAACAGAAAATAAAAAAATAATTCTATTTCACTTATTTAACTTATTATTCTCTTCATTAATTACTTAAATTAAATTTTAGTAAAATCTTAGCAATTTCTTAAGTGTGAATAGGGCATTAGATAATTGGTTTTATATTTCTCTTATAACTGGAGTGAATGATATTATAACAAGACTAGCGGACCCAACAGACGTTGTCCTGTACACATAAAATCCAACAACAACTTAAAAATAACAAATTAAATGTATAGTGATAAATATACAATAATTAATTTATTGTTAAGAATTAATTAACACTATGATACAGTCAATTATCAAAATCTGCACTTAGATAAAGTTGAGTGTAATCATGAATGTAAAACGAGAAAAGAATGCAATAAAATGATTAATTTGTATAAACTTACTTCAATGTATGAAACACCAATATCAAATTCTCTGTCCTTTTCAAAAGAGTTTATAGTGTAGAAAAGATGCTCCATCGTTAAGTAAGTTATTCCTGGATGGTCCTCACTTCCAATCATTGTGAATGTCTTCCCAGCACCTGTTGCACCATACACAAACACTGAACAGTTGTAACCTTCCATTAGTGAAGCAAGGATATCTTTGGTCGTGGTTTCGAAAACATCTTTATTCGTAGCATTTTGGCCGCAGACATGATCAAACACAAATTTAAGTTCCTTGTTTGCTCGTTTTAGGAAGTTTTTATTTGGCTGTTGTACGCCATGGTAGAAAAATGGTCTTATCTCCTCCTTAGGGTCAAACACCAGCATCTTATCGTCAACAACATCTACAACAATTCGACTGTTTTGCTCCAATTCTCTTGCATTTAATGGTCGTACCCTCACGACAACTTTAACATTAGCGGACATATTTTGTGTTGAGCCACTTCTCGAGGGCGCGACAGTGGTAGGACCCTTAGGCCGGCATGGGCCTTTCTCCACTTTAACCATTTTCTTCAATACCATTACAAACTTCGGTCATTAAATCACGTCAAATATACAACATTCGTTGTATCTGCAACTTTTAATGCACTTATACGTAAGAAGCGAGCCAAATTCGTTAATAAATACACTTAATCAAGTCGCTTGGTTGTAAACAGTCATGAAAGTTTGAATCACTTTTGAATTCGATTCGTAACCGTCAATTTTGAAAAGACGCACAGCGGATGAATTAATAAGAATGTAATAGATACAAGGTTTTTAGCCACCATTGAACATTTTATAAATATTTAATTATTAAGTAAATTTTATATGATAAAATAATGTATTTGATAAATTTAGTAAATTTACATAAATTAAAATCATAATTAGTAAAGAAAAAGACTGGCACAAGTAGTCTTTTTTTATTGTACGGTTTGTCTAATAAGATTAAGAGATCCAAATATTTCAATTATTAAAAAAAAAGATAACAGCTGTTTTAAAATTATATAGTATTAATTAGTTCTCAAGAATTAATTAATTAATTAATTTATTTTATTATTAAAATCCAGTAGGTAGTTGAGGATTACCTCACGACATTATCGTCGGCAGCATTCTATGAGGTTTCTAAAAACTTTATGATGCAGAAGTTCTATAAATCAGCAAACTTTTTTCTTAGATGTTTGTCGTCGTGTGAAAGTTTGAGACAATGATGTTATATACAAATACAAGGTAGATAATTATTATGACACTAATGCACCGAAATTGAGGCACTCAAACTACGCCAATTGGTGTAATTAGATTGTAACCCTATAGACTGCTATCTTTTTTCGTATCATAGGTTCTATATCGTCTGTCACGTTCGCTTACATTATGGCATATAGGAATAAACACCTAATTAAATTAAATCTGTATAGAACATTGATCAATATAATATTACGGTATTGAATATTGATCTACTTTCCACTTCGCGTTCACTTGGATGAAGTGAGGGGGTTTATGGGTAAAGCTCAATACTGATGGCGATACGCCATTAATTTTCATTGAGCGATATTATTAACACAATAAAATATATAAAGATAAAATATTTTAATACTACATAATTTTAAATTAATATCGATATATTTTTATTGAATTAAAAACTACACAGGCCACCGAAATAAACCCTCTATTATTATCAATATGGTATCCCTATGTAATTGTTTGTGTGCTTTAAAAATTACCTAAGAGTTTAAGAGTAGAAATGAATATTGATGGAAACAAAACTCAATTGAACATTACCTTATTAACGCGCAAATATGACACCTACTATCCGAAAATTTTCCTTTTGTGATTATAATTATTTGTTTTCTAATAGTTCCATTTTGATTCTGTTTTATTGCAATGTAATTTCTGAGTCCGTCAGTATAGATTATTTGGCATTATTTGAAGTTGTAAATTATGTTTCGTAGAGCACTGGAATTTATTGAGATGTAATGGATTATTTACAACTTCTTATAAATAAATTCAACGAAAAAAGTTTAGTGATTTAACTTAAAATAATACCAACATAATGCCATGAAGGAAAAAAAAAAAACTAATTTGTGTACACTGCACGGGCACTGTCACAGTGAGAATATATTACGTTGGCTATTATGTGGCTTATGTTCAGTAGTGGACTTTAACAGGCTGAAATGATGATGATGATGTAAATTGATAAAAAAATAAAGCTTATAAGATCCAATATAAATAAAGATTAAAACCCGTACAGCAATGGTGCCATAGAATAATTAACTATTTTACATAGCACTAATAGATACTCCCATTTACCGCTATATACAGTAGGATTAACAACACGCAATGAGTGCAGAGTTTCCACTAAAAAAAAATTATTCTCTGCACTAAAAGTCCTAATGGCAGTCAATACTTGTTTTTTGAAAAATATTGGACTGTTTATAGGGTGAAATCGTTACATTGTTAAAGTCAGGTACGCATCCCGCATGAGTTAGAAAGGTAAACTGTAAGAAACAAGTTCATCTATGATTTTATTTAAATATGAGGTAAATTAAACTCAAAGGCCATAAATGTACTTCATAAAAAAGTGTAATTGAAATCGGTTCGTAATTGGTGATAATATAATTGTGAGCGTGTAGCGAAAGTGAATTACAGAACAACAGCTATACTGATCTCAATCCATGTCTGTGCGATAGCATAATATGTTACGTTATGTATACTTTGTTTTGTATTTCTATTGTTTATATTTTTGGGTACCTTAAAAGGTAAAAAAGGAATTCTTCTAAGATCACTCTCTTGTCCATCTGTCTGTCCGTGTGTCTCCACCGATTTTTTCAAGAGTAAGTTAAAATTTACACCAGATACTGAGGTATTTATAACAGATATTACGGAACTTTCGGCGTACGAGTTCGACTCGCACTTTATCGGTTTATTTTAATATAAATGGTGCAAAGATCATCATGTGCATCTATGTGGTTCACGCCAGTTCCGCCGTAATTCTAAATGATAAGTTAAATGACTTCTGAGTCTGGAGTTTAATCAATGTAAAGGCCCTGTACTCCAAATAGCTATTACATTAAAAGTTTCATGTCAAGTGGTATTTGTGGCTTTAATTTAAGCCTAGGGTTTAAATCAGAAGATTGTTGCGATTATTGAGTCTAACTACGAATTTACGGAGTCATTTTCTTTGTTCAAGAAGCGTCCAAATTATCAAAATGTTGCAGTTATGTTAAATGCTATTGTATCGACATGTTGTAGTATTTTTTAAACATTTTATTTTGCATTACCAACAAAATTATATGTACACACAATTAAGTAAACCCATATTTATATCTTAAACGTTATAAGTCGATTATTATAGGGTACTCTATTGTTGGGTCCTGAGAACAATTTTGTGATACTTTCTAATCGATCTTTGTACGTTCCACGCTCAAGTTTGCTTATAACTAGGCTTGTGTAAAGTAGCTTCCTAGTTTTCAGATTTTTAGATGATTTAAAATATCTGAATACATAGTCTCATCTGCAATCGCGCAAAATTGGCAAAAGCGTCAGGCCGCGAATGCCGAAGACGCGGGTTCGATTCCCACAGCGTCGACAATCTTTTCGTACTTTTTCTACAATTTTAATAACATTTATAATGTTAAATTTAGCCAAAAATAATTCACTCGCTGGACAAGACCCTTGGACCAAACTTTCATTAAATAGTGAAGGTAAAATCTTAGATTCACGTCCTCCGAATTGGAACGTACCGTAGGTAACTGACTGAGATGAAACCGCTATTAATATAATTGTATAAAAACTAATATGAGTTTGACATCACTTAGTCATTACTTAATTGATTTATTTAATTACATTTACTTCATTTAATAAATGATCCTTTAAGTAGGTATCAATCAAAGTATTTTTACGTATTACTCTCATCGTATTAAACGTTCGTAATTTTAAATTTTCGTAATAAATTTAGTTTCTGCCACTCGAACTGCATAATATACTTTTTTTTCAAAATAACTTTGTTTTGTTTGTTTGTTTTTTGTGTATATCTTTATGTAACTGATTTCTCGCCCGGTTTTGGTCCGGATTTTTCGTTTGATAGGGGCTTCTACCAAACACGTAGCTCAGGAGATAGTTCTTGATCCAATGATCTATATACCAAACTACATGTTTGGTGTTTAATTTTTTTGTTTTGGTGCTAATCTGCACTCAAGATGAAACTTGAAATATGTAGATGTGACTGTGGTAGGGCCACGCCTTCTTCTCTGTTGCACGAATGGGCAAGTCCGTCTAGTTAAGTACCACCACCTCGCAGAAAACTGGCTTGGAGTGGTGTTATACTTCTGCCTTTCGTCCGATGTAGCCGGGGCCCACTTATTATAACACTTATTAAAACACAAAACGTGGCAACGCATCAGCAACCCTTCGGGTGTTGCAAAATGTGACTGGGCGGCGGTTATTACTTAAAAACAGGTGAACCGCCAGCTCATTTGCCATCTTCTCACATAGGTAACATAAAAGATAAACTGACAAATTGACAAACTTTTCGTTGCTGCCAGGATTCGAACCTGCCTCTTCCGTATTACGTCCAGACGTTCTAGCCACTAAGCTAAGCGGTCCACAAACTCACCACGCGAAAATCGTCGACGTCTTATTTACTCTGTGCGCGGGCAGTGTTTGCGCTAGTTGTAGAATAGTCGTTCACGGATTTCCCGTTAACGTTAACGTTGATTTACGTTTGTCAACTAGTAAATCAACGAGTTACTGTCGACTTACATATACGACCAACGTATAACGAGTTTCTACTTCATATCTTCCGTCATACTTTAATGTAATTTTAGGAACAATTTCATGCAGTGTACTAATGGAATTATGATTTAGAAAAAAAATTAAAACAATTTTCTATAAAGCATGTTCCTCTATTCATTTAAAACTCGTCTTGACAATTTTACGAAATTTCTTATTTATTTATCTTTAGGTTATAAGACAATCAATCCCGCGCTATCGATCGGGTGAACTTAAATAATTTCTGTGGAAGCTTGGGCCTTATAGCTCCTCTCCTTCTAGATCCGCTAACGGGTGGGTGCTATTCTTTTCTGGAAGGCGTAATGTATAAAAGCCTCCTACAAAGTGCACCGTAGCTTCGCTGGCAACCTGTTGGCTGGTGGGTGCAAATGGTAAAGTTTCGTTCATTGTGGCGTTCTCCTTAGTTCGACGTCTTCCCACTGACGATAAAAATGCTCTGTTCGTGGCAAAACTATAATTTAAGTATTTTTAAATATTTGTGCCCTTTATAATGATAATGATTGCGATGCTATAAACGCGGGAAATTCGGAAAAACAGCTTATTTTGATGAAGCTCAATAGTTCTTACTTAACGCTTTAACTTAACTGGTTTTTCACCCAAGCCCAAGTATCCTCTGTATATTCATCGATGAGTTTGCTGTGTTAAGCTAATAATAATGAAACTCTATTGGCTTTAGCGTCGGGGGTTATGGGTTCGATTCCCACACGAGACAAGTATTAATTGTGTGACCCATAGATGATTGT